AATTTTGAAGGTATTTCTTCTAATTTACAGTATTGCTCCTAAGACCTTTGCCATTATGGTTCTTGACTCTTTTTCTAAGAGAGTTTTTTGTTTGTTTCTTCTCTCTGTAAGCTTTTAGATATTCTCTTTAAAACTGGGTTTCTGATCATTCACACTGTGTCTCGATATGAATTATTTTACAATTCTTATATTGGGTACTAGTAGGAACCCTTTTAATCTGGAAATTAATTTCCTTTAGTTACACCAACTTTTATTTGTATTCTGTTGGTAATTTTCTACCATCCTATTTTACCTCTTCTTTCTTTGTGGAATTCCTATTACTTGCATGTTGGACCTCCCAGAATGCTCCTCTAATTTTCTTATCTTTTCTTTCCCATTTTCAAGCTGCCTTCCCAGCCCTTCCCCCCTTCTATACCCCCCAGATTTCCTTAGTTATTCCAACCCAACTACTAAATTAATTTTACTTTTTAATTCTAGGACTCTTGTGTTTTCTGAATATACCCTTTTTATAATTTCTTGTTCTTGTTTCAAGGATGCAATATCTCAATATCTTCCTTTTGTTATCTGAAGCTCTTAAATACAGTAATTTTTAAGTTTTCATCTGATCTCTGCATTATCTGTTTCCTCTTTTCCTCTGATTTTATTTGCTTCCTTCCTTATTTGTGTTTTTTTTTAAAATATATTTCATCTCTACAGCAGTTTCTGGTTCAGAGCAAAATTGTACAGAAAGTACAGAGAGTTCCCGTATACCTCCTGCCCCACACATGTACAGTCTCCGCCACCATCAGCACCCCACACCAAGGTGGTACATTTGTTACAACAGATGAACCTACACTGAAATGTCATTATGACATAATTTACATCAGGGTTCATTTTTGGTGTTTTACATTCTATGGGTCTTAACAATGTATAATGGAGTATATCCACCATTATGGTATCATACAGAGTGGTTTCACTGCCCTAAAAATCCTCTATGCTCTGCCTTCCCCCCTTAGCCCTTGGCAACCACTGATCTTTTTACTGCCTCCGTAGTTTTGCCTTTTCAAGAATGTCATCTAGTTGGAATCACACAGTATATAGCCTTTTTAGATTGGTTACTTATTTTTTTATTTGTATATGTTCAAAGGTATATAACATGATGTTTTGATATACATAGTGAAATGATTACTACAGTCAAACAAATTAACATATCCATTCTCTCACACACCTTTTCTTTTTCTTGCTTTTTGTGAAAGAACACCTGAAATCTACTCTCTTGGCAAGTTTCCAGTAAACAATACAATATTAACCATAGTTATCATGCTGTCCATTAGTTCTGTAGACTTATTTATCCTACATAACAGCAACTTTGCACCCTTTGATCAACATCTCCCCATCCCCCAGTCCCCTACTGTGCCATCCCTGGTAACCGCTGTTCTACTCTGTGTTTGTGTGTACTCAACTTTTTTAGGCTCCACATGTAAGTGAAATCATACACTGTTTTTCTTTCTGTGTCTGGTTCATTTCATGTCCTTCAGGTGCATCCATTTTGCCACAAATGGCAGGTTCTCCTTTTTTAAAGCTCAACTCAATAATATACTATTGTATTATACATATACACTGAAATATATAAAATTTTATATATATACACACACCACTGTTTCTTTATCCATTCATCTCCTGACAGACATTTAGCTTGCTTCCATATCTCAGCTACTGTGAACAATGCTGCAGTGAACATGGGAGCATAGATATCTCTACAAGGTTCTGATTTCATTTCTTTTGAATATATAGACACAAAAGCAATTGCTGGATAGTATGGCTTCTTTCACTTGATAAAATGCATTTAAGATTCCTCCATGCCTTTTCATGGCTTGATGGCTCATTTCCTTTTCATGCTGAATAACCTCTCATTGTACGAACATATCACAGTTCGTTTATCCATTCACCTACTGAAGGACATTTTGATTGCTTCCAAATTTTGGCAATTATGAATAAAGCTGCTATATACATCCATATGCAGGTTTTTGTGTAGATACAAGTCTTGAACTGATTTGGGTAAATACCAAGGAGCATTGCTGCTGGATGATACAGGAAGAGTATGTTTAGTTTTGTTAAAACCTGCCACACTGTATTCCAAAGTGACTGTACCATTCTGCATTTCCAGCAGCAAAGAATGAGAGTCTCTGTTGTCCCATATCCTTGTCAGCATTTGATATTGTCAGTGTTTCAGATTTTTACCTTCTAATAGGTATATAGAGGTATTTCACTATTGTTGCTGTTGTTGTTCTGTGTTTTGTGTGTGTGTGTTGTTTTAGAATGTATCTTTCATGTTAAAGGTTTTCCTGAAATGTATGTGATACTTTAGCTATCTATCTCTTGATGTAAGTGTGAGGCACTGGAAGGCTAAATAGAAACTCTGTGTGCACAGATGAGGCTTGTTAAGTGGTAGGCTTTCTTATATGATGATCAAACAGAAGGAACTCAGCTCTTTCCTGGGGAGCCCTCTTGTAGCTTTAGGTCTTTCCTTCTGGGAAGGAGAAGTTCTGTAGAAAGTACTCCTCCAATCCCTTAACTGAAAGTAGAAGCCTTGGTGCCAGCATTCTCACAACTTCTACTAACTGAGACTCCCCTTCAGTCAGTAATTCATTTAATTTCATTTAATTTCCTTGTTTTCAGTAAGATGACCCTGCCCTTAATTATAGCTAATATCTATGAATCTAGAGTCCTTTTGGTTTACCTTCTCCAGAAAATAAACTTCCAGGTCTCTATAAAGGTACGGAAATGGTAACATATTGTATGTGGAAATGGACTCACAATAAAAGCCAGCATTTACCAAGGACTTGACATCTTATATACATTATTTTATTTCATCCCCATAACAATTCCCAAGAGAAAAGTATTATCATGGCCATTTTACAGATGACAAACTGTGGCTAGAGAGAATAAGATACCTTATATGCCACCTCAGCAACCAAGAGAAGTCCTGAAGCTATTTCTAAGATTTATGATAGCTCTTTCTCTGACCAATAAATCCAATCTGAGCATAATACTCCTTTATGATATTCCAACAAACAGGAGGTGGGGAGGGAGTGTGATAGCTACATGTTATTCTCTAGCCTTTTAAATATGAATGTCTATATGGGAAAAAAAAAAAGCCTACCTCCACAGAGAACTTTATAATGACTGAAAGAATTCAATCAATGGAAGGAAGGCAGGTGCATCACCGTATATGAAGAACCATGAAGAAGTTAGTTCATGAACTCAAGTAAGTTACAAAAATCAAAGAAAAAGGAAGAAGAAAGAGAAACAGATTTTTTCACTTGATGTGCCCCAGAGTTTCAGAAAAGAACAGACAGTGTTAGTCAGAATTTTAAAGTTAAATATAAATGAACTGAAGGAGAGGGAAAAAAATTAACATTACTTAGAAATCTCCATAAATTGAATACTACTGTCAAATAATCAAAATAATACAATAAAACATGTTAATGAAGACACAATTGCCACATAATTGACTAAAGTATTACTTTTAATAGAGTTCATTAAAAGAACGTATTGAGATGTTAAACTGTCACAATTAAGTAAAAATAATTTTTTTCACAGAAAGAAGCAAAGTTTCAAAATACATTTTTAAAATTCTAGTTGTTTCAGAGGATTTATAAATACATTTATCTAAAGCTACTGTACCTGAATTCAGGATGCTGTTAGGAACAAATTGTTACTTTGAGATTAATATTTGCCTTGTTTCCTAGCACTTTTATCTGTCTATACATTCACCCAAATCCCTTGAAAGCAGAGGCATGTATTTGTAGGCTGCATGACCACAAGCACTGGAACAAGTTATAGCTAAGAACTACAGACTCTAAACTGGTTTTGCATAAGAATCACCTGCAGGCTTTTTTTAAAAAAAACACATTCCTGAATCCTACCTCAGATTTTTGAAATTAGAATTCCTGAGGCTTAGAAATCTATGTATAAAAAGGTCTAAAAGTGTTTCTGATGCATAGACAGGTTTTAGGAAAGAAACTGGAGCAGCAATTTTAGAACGATGTTCTGAAGAGTCTTAAAATTCTCAAGAAATACCTTTGGGTTTCTCTCACCTGTTTCAGCCAAGAATAGTCCCATCTTTATCTATTCTGCATATTAAAGTCTGTAAACCACCACAAGACCAGACAGAGCTCACTCATACAGGAATTAAACCCATGATTTTGGCATCAAAACTGACCTAATCCAAAAAAAAAAAAAAAGACCCCACAAAACTAGACAGATAAAAAGACCAGGATTGATGGACACAGAATACTTGTTAATGACAAAAGGAAAATTTTATAAAAGCAGTTCTGTAATTCATATACTTTTATTCATTACAATTTAAAATAACTTATTCAATACATGACCGAATTGCATAATAAAGTTCCAAATGGAAAAGCACATCTACACATATATATTGTATTAATTGCACATACTTCTGTCGCTTAGGAAAAAGTACCTTATCCTAGTCTTGCAAGTAAAAATACGAAATGTATCTAAATAAATCCAAGTCTTTGTAACCTTGCCTTCCAATCTTAATTCTGCCTCCCCTACCTCTATCAGACAGACAGGAGACAGGGAAGGCAACAGTATATTTGGGAAAGTGTTCTCCTTGAGGAAACGATTACCCCAGGAGAATTACGATAGGGATGAACATCTGTCTACTGCTTCCCCATAAGCATATGGTTTAGATACTTTGAACACCTTTTAGGTAGTTCCCCTAATCTACTCTAACTCAGAAAACTATGTTGTGTGTTGTAGAGGATAGCATGTAAGAATGCTAATTTCCTCCTCCCGTCCTGTCCTTGGATATTCCCCCACAGGATTGGGTCTATGTGAGTAATGCTGGCCTTTTGAAATTCTCCATTTCAAACACCCTACCTAATAATAACGTATACCCACTGGAAGTTAGATCTGAGACATTCAATCTTTTATGGAGATACAAATTCAAGGGACTATTTCATCAAATGAAACAGCATAACATATTTACTCACCTGTATGAATACACATACTAAGCAGGAGATGGACTGAGTAAGAAGCCAGAAGAGCAACTATCAGCAGCAAGAAACTAAAATATAAAAAAATACATGGTCAAACCCCTAAGAGTGTATCTTTTTTATGATGTCTCATTATGAAAATAAGTTTCTTCACATCCATATGTTCACAGGAACTGTCTCTGAGTGGTTGAACAACAGTCATTAAATAAATTAATAAGTCCTCTGATTATGTCTTGCCTAAGGTGATTATGTCCTTAGGTGATTGTAAGTACATTCCATAATAAAAGCAAGTTGGTTTACTTATCAAGAAATTTGTAGTAAAAGTAGGGAATAAATGAGATTCTCTAGGTATTTTAAATTTCCCAGTAAAACAGGTTGGCATCTCCTGACAAAACAAACAAAACAAACTTGTTCATTCATTCTGTTAGCCATGGTGTTAGACGTTAAGGATAAAGTCCAGTTCTAAAGGATTTTATAGTGGAGAGATCAACTTGCAAACAAATCATTAGAATACATTATAATAACAGAATGAATGTACAAAGTACTATGGGAGCAGAGAAAAGCCAGGAATGTGTTTTATTCAGGGCTATCTGGCCTATGAGCCAAGTTTTGAAAGATGAAAAGGAACTGGCATAGAATACATGCCTGACCTCAGAAAGTAAAACAAGACTAATTACCAATAGAAGGAGAGGAAGAGATGGAGAGAAATAAAAAGATTATGTGCTTTTTTTGCCCTCACAAAATTGTTATTTAGAAGTAGTTTGCATGGCTGATAAACTTCGATTCACTTCGGCCTGACACAATGAATAAGCCACTTCAAGGTTATAAACAAGTATGGGTCAAGTTCGGTTTTTTTTGACCGGTAAGGGGATCGCAACCCTTGGCTTGGTGTCGTCTGCACCGGCCATCCCTATATAGGATCCAAACCCGCGGCCTCGGTGCTACCAGCACCACACTCTCCCGAGTGAGCCACCGGGCCGGCCCTCAAGTACCCATTTTTAATGACTAGCCACACTTTTTGATAAAAAAGATACAAACTATATAGCATCCCTCTTTGCTACAGACTAGCAAGATAAGAGTAGCAAGAAAAATGCTAAAAGCCCAGAAACAATTTAACTAAAAACTGTATAACAGCATCTTCTGGAACCTATCTTTTTAGTGTACTGTTAAAATGAGGGGATGGGGTGATTGTAAATTACTTTTCTTTAAACTCACCTAAATCCAAGGATGCCAGTATTAGCCATAACATAAGCCAAGCCAAGGATGCCACTTCCCATGATGGCATTCATCACATTGAACACTGAGAAACCAAATGAAACACCTGGAGATCTCTGTCTGTGAAGTTCCTATAAACACATAAATTTAATAGTGTTAAATGTTTGGACGGTGAAGTTAAAATTTTGTCAAGAAATCACTGAAAGGTTTTTGAGAAAATCTCCTGCAAACCACCAGGTTTTGTGTGACACACCAGTTGCTTAACCAGCATTGGTCTCGCTTCTCCTTTCCTTCCCATCTCTCACTAGTGCAGCTCCAGGAATCTAGTCTCCTGGGAAAATCATCTCCAAGAATATAGTACCCAGGCAGGCTTCAGGAAGTGCCATGACTAACCTTGCGACTGCAAGAGATGAAGATAGGATAAGACTCGGGTGGGGACAGAGAGGAGAGATACAGCCTCAGCTCATGTGACTACTGAAGAATCCCTGAGTCAGCTTGGGCCTGCTGTCAACAACTGTTGCTCCCCAATTACTAGGACTGCAAAACTAATCTCTGTTTATATACTTAATGAATTAAGTCCTCCCAACTGGAAGGGTGGTCAGGAATACCTTGCAATGACAATAAAATAAATAGAAGCAATTGCCGTTGCTCAGGTGAGGATATCCCTGAAAACACCCTTCCCCTAAAGTAGCATTTGGGAGCAAAGTCCTAGAAACTGTTACAATCCAAGGGCTCGAGATGAAAAGCAGAGTTCCCACTGCATAGGTTTTAGAGTCAGGGAAGTACCATACACTTATTACCAGGCCACCTCCACTCTTCACCGCTAAGGATGTCCATATTAAAATGTTTATAGCCCTCCAATGACTAAGTCGAGAAAAGAAAAATCTTGTGACTCTTGCAAAGACCTCACAAGACTAGTGGAGGAAATAGGAAGCTGAAGAAGATACTGACAAACAGCAGTGAGTCACATAACCCTAGCGCTGCTCAACCCGTCGGGTCCTCAGCCCGCACTCAGTGCTGCACCTCTTCCACCTGAGCCGGCACCTTGACTTCAGCTTTTCCTTCTAGAGCATGTTAGGCCGCTATCGCATTCATAACTCCGGTGATCTCACCTGATCTCGGCTACTGCCTTTGGGCCCCATCCCTCAGGGGTCAGGCTCCAGCATCTCCCCTCTCCCCACGCAGTCCCCCTTCTTTTCCCGGTCTTATTGGGAAGCTAGAGGAGCCCACTTACGTTGCTTAGCAACGGGCTCAACTCTTCCGTCTCCGCCTCTTCGGGCTGCTGGGCAGAGAGGTACCAGCCCCGCTCAGCGCTGATGCTCCCCCAGGACGCCTCCATACTGCTCTTGGGCTGACGACCAGGTCCATCTGCGAGCCACTGCCCTGCCCTGCGATCCTGTCGTTAGTCGCGCCAGAGGCGGAGCTGCGGGCCCGGCCCTTCCGGGATCCCGTACCTCACCAGGGCGGGGAAAATGGAGCGAGTCGACGGGATCTGATGACGCTCGCCCCCTCCGCGGCGAACAGTGATGATGTCATCGAGGACCAGCCAGCCCATCCGCGACCCATTTCTGAATGGCACCGGAGAATGAGGTGAGGGGTCTGGTCACTGAGCCAGCTGCGGAGCGACGCGGGGATTTGGGATGGTGCAGTTGGTGAGGTGGCGATCGCGGGGCCCTTGGTCTTTCAAAGGGGCTGATGGTCCAGGAGCGGTACCAGTCCGCCCGGGCGCGGAAACGTCGCGAGGTCACCCACGCGCTCCAGTGCTGGGCTTAGGTCCGAATACGGGGTAGTGAGGACTCTGTTTTAACAACCGTTTGACGGAGGCTTTGGCCACATTTTACATAAGGAAAACCGAGACTCAGATTAAGTTATTTATCCAGGGTCACCCAGCTGGTTAACTGCTAGACCCAATGTGAACCCTGACTGTGAAGTTTGACTTGGTTGTTTTACAGGATTCTGGGGCAGGGCCCTTTCCCCTTATAATTACTATTTTGGTATTTTGAAAGACAAAGTGAATAACTGATACTGTGCATATAACACTCAGCAAAACCCTACACCTCAAAACCCGGAAGCTTCTAGTTATAGGCAGGACACGTGGCAATAAGATAATTGAAGACGTGGTGATATATTAACACAAGCGCTGAAGTCAGTCAGCTGGGTTTTAATCCTTGCTCACCCACTCACCAGCAAGGAGACTTTGTGTGAGTTAACCCACTTCTGAGCTTTGGTTTACTCATTTAACAAAATAAGGATGCAATGTTACCTTCCAAGATTGATAATGTGTACAGTAGTCCCCCCTTATCCTAAGTTTTGCTTTCCATGGTTTCAGCTACACCAAGTGAACCGCTATCCAAAAATATTAAATGGACTGGCCGGTTAATTGGGTTGGTTAGAGCTGGTGTTATAACACCAAGGTCAAGGGTTCAGATCCTCATACTGGCCAGCCGCCAAAAAAAACCCCACAAAAATATTAAATGGAAAATTCCAGAAATAAACAATTCGTAAGTTTAAAATTACATGCAGTTCTTAGTAGCATGATGAAATCTCCTTCCATCCCACTGCCCAGGGATGTAAATCATCACTTTTTCTAGCATATCCACACTATATAAGCCACTAGTGCATAGTCAGTTAGCCATCTTGGTTATCAGATTGATATTGCAGTGTTCACGTAACCATTATTTTACCTAAGAACGGCCCAAACTGCAAGAGCCGTGATGTTTGCAATTCATGTATGCCAAAGAGAAGCCATGAAGTGCTTCTTTTAAGTAAAAAACGTGAAAGTTCTTGACTTAATAAGGTAGCAGAAATTTTTTTTTGGTTTTTGGTGGCTGGCCGGTATGGGTGTCTAAATCCTTGACCTTGTTACCAGCATCATGTTCTTCAAAGTGAGCTACCCAGCCAGCCTCAGTAAGGAAAGAGAAAAAATTGTATGATGAGGTTGCTAAGATCTATGGTAAGAACAAATCTTCCATCTATGAAATTGTGAAAAAGGAAAAAGAAATTCTTACATAGTATATTTAGGGTTCATTACCATCCTCAGTTTTAGGCATTGACTGGGGGTCTTGGAAGGTGTCCCCGGCAGATAAGGGGTGACTACTGTGTAAAGCATTTAGTACAGCATCTGACACAGTAAGCACCCATAAGAATATCCTGGGAAATATTGCCGTTGGTAATGTCATATATAATGACCATTTCATTTAGCGGACCCTTTAACTGAAGTTTTGGCTTTCCAATTCCAAACGTATTCTGTAGAAAATTGTAGGTGGAGAGGTTCATTGAATATAGGGAGGCTGATGGTATAGGGAGGCTGATGGATCACTAAGTCCTCTGTTCAAGCAGCAGGTGCGTTGAAGTTGCAAATTTATTATCTACCACCAGTAAAAGTCTTCCTGGAAAAGATAGTATACTTCCCACATACTAAAAGTTTTATTTACCAGCATTTAGCAGGTGATTTGAATCAGTAAAATTAAAACTTTTATTTTCAAAAGCCATTGTGAACATGTAAGTTAGCCTTTATAAATAGCTTTATAGTATTTTTTAAAGGAGTATTTTTTTTTTCCTTAGGATCTTAAGGAGGCTATCTGGATTCTCAAATAGACTTCTGAAAGTGGAAAGCTGTAGCATAACTGCATCAGAATCGTTGATTCAACTAGCTTGGATATCACTGACACAGAAGCTTAGGAAACCACCTGGTGTTTTCTCGACCATGCCAGAAACAGAAACAAATGAGAGAGCCTCTGAATTATTTTTACCACCTACTCATGTTCGAGGAATGACAAAACTTGATAGAACATCTTTTAAAAAGACAGTCACCATTCCAGTGCTTAAAGTGAGGAAAGAAATAGTCAGTAGATTGATGCGATCCCTTAAAAGGGCAGCGCTGCAGCGCCCGGGTATAAAACGTGTGATTGAAGATCCAGAAGATGAAGAAAGTAGACTAATTATGTTGGATCCCTATAAAATATTTAGTCATGATTCTTTTGAAAAGGCAGAACTCAGTACTTTAAAGCAGCTTAATGTCAACCCACAGATATCTAAATATAATTTGGAACTAACATATGAAAACTTTAAGTTAGAAGAAATCTTGAAAGCTGTGCTTCCTGAAGGTCAAGATGTGACTTCTGGTTTTAGCAGAGTTGGACATATTGCACACCTGAACCTTAGAGATCATCAGCTACCTTTCAAGCATTTAATTGGTAGGTGTGTTATAGTAATATTCATGTACTAAAAAGCAATTTGCAAATTCTAATTTTAGTTTTTAAAATTGTTTTTTAAAATGCCAAATTGTATAAGCAGTACATTTTATCATTGTAATTTTAAGCTGGATCTTGAGCTACATACCCTCTCTTTGAGGGCTCTTTTGGAAGTCCCTCATCGAAGTCATAGTAAGCTTTCGTGTATACCAGTAATACATAAGCATGGATTAAAATTGAATCATTTTGTTTTGGCAGCTGTACTGAACAGAGATCTTTTTGGTACACAAGACTTATTACGCTTTCAGGACAGTGTTCAGTACTGGCTTTCATAAATTTGGGTGTTTTATAATCAATAGTGCTGTTGACTTATGCTTTCACTGATTCAACTGAGTTTCTATGTATCAGTCACTGTACTTTGTTTTTTTAGTGCTCTTAGCCTTTTAGAAACGATGCATGTGTATGACTTACCTCTATAGCCCCAGGTTTAGACCTGGGGCCTTTATTCTTTGGGTAGAAAGAAGTAGAGGATTAATCAAAATTGCACTTGTCCTTATATGAATATTTGAGAAATAATGCGGTCCCCAGATTAATTTTTTGTTGTTTTAAATATAGAGTAACTATCAGAACTTCTGGGAATTATTTTCAGCTTTAAAATGTAGTGCTCAGTATTTTGTATGGGTAGGATTTTAGAACTGTTCTATTATGCATTTCCTTCGGTTTTACTGATGAAAGATAACACATAGTGGTAATGTAAATACTTATGCAGATTCTTATAATTGGGACTGAGTACAAATGTCAAGTCTAGGTTTTCCTATGAGTCACTACCTACCCTAACTTAAACATTCCTTTGGCATTTCTATTTTATAATCGCTCTTCCATAATGGGGCACTCATAAGTTAAACATTTTCATACAGTAGTAATTTTAAAGCTTTTACTGTAGACCTTCAGAGTAGTTTTTAAATTTCATTCTTCATTTCAAACTAACTTTTATACCTTAAAAATTGAGTTCAGATACCTTAAAGTGGAACAAGATAAGAGCATTGATTGGTTTATTGATATTATCATATTCAAAATCAGGCATCTAATTATTAGAGGAAAATTGGACAAATTTTGGTTGTATTTCAGCATATTTGTATTATTGAGTACATTTTACTAACAAATCAAATTATTTTTCCTTGTGCAATGAGATAGCATATAAGTTTTTATAAAGGCTTAAAGTGCTGACAAAAAAATAGACTTTGATTAAAGGGCATCAGCATGCCACTTCTAATGTGTTTTATTATCTCTGTAGCTTTTCTGCTCTGATAAATATTTGAAAAAAAGAACAGTTTAAGTAAATGAACATTTTATTTAGAGACTCTAAAGAATCTATATTCTTTTATTTGGAAAGATTGGTTTGCTGGTATATATTTCTAAAGTGTAGGCATTTGTTTCAAATCCACAGTAAAATAAACATTTGGTTTGAGGCCAGTGGGGATAGGCAGATGTTTTTACTGGTGTTTTCTGAGACCGTTTGTTGCCAGGGTCTTTACATCTCTTCTTTCCATTCCTTCCAAATTTTCTAGGGTCTACCTTTTCGCATACTTGTATTGGTATTTTGAGAAGATTTGGTAAAAACATGGAAAAATATTAGGTATACTCCTCAAAATTTTTTTACAGATCTACCCATACATTTTTTTGTGTGTACTGGAGACTGTCAGACATTAACTTTAGTAATCTATTGAATTTTTAGAATTGCATTCTGCATTACATACACTAGGTGCAGTTTTTATCTATAAACTAAAAGAAAATACAATTCATTTCTGTTTTATACTTACAGTTTTAGCTTTTATTTTGCAACCAATAGGCAGTATTTATTATGAATTTTCATCTTTTAGGCCAAGTTATGATTGACAAAAATCCAGGAATCACCTCAGCAGTAAATAAGATCAATAATATTGATAATACATACCGAAATTTCCAAATGGAAGTACTATGTGGAGAGGAGAACATGATGACCAAGGTACAGAGTATTTTATTATCTCCTCATAAGGTGTATATGAAGCTAATGTTTAGAATCAGAATAAAGGACAAAGATTAAACGTATTTGTAACAGCCAGTATTAATGAGTATATGAGAATGTGTGCACTTATATATACTATTGATAGGATAATATTGACAGATAAAAGCCTCTTGAGAAGAATTGCTTAGGGCTAGCCAGTTGGCTCAGTTGGGTAGAGCACGGTGTTATAATACAAAGGTCAAGGGTTTGAATCTCCATATCAACCAGCTGCCAAAAAAGAATTGGTTAGATTCTGGTATAACAATATAATGGACAATGGAATACTCCATTATTAAAGATATTTTAGGTCTATATTTATTAAAATAAATTGCTCATTAACAGGTTAAGTGAAAAAAAGTAACATTATAGAACAGTATGTATAAAATAGTTCTCAAGACATTTAAACCTTCCAGGTTATACCTTGCAAGACTTCTAGTTGGCAGAAAGTTGTAGAAACATTTCCAACTCTGGAACCTCAATAATATGGCCAGAGGCATCTGATAAGGTTGGGAGGGGGAAAAAAACATGTACACATTTGGAATTAAGGTCCAGTAAAGCAGAAAATGGAAGATATATCTCTGCCAGATTTATAGAACTTAGGAACTTTCTGGCCTTTGATTCTTTATCCATAAAATGAAGGGCTTAAGATGATGGCTGAGGTCATATTCCCTGATTGTAATTTTAGTTTTCTAACATGTCTATGATATACCCAAAAGAAATGGTACAAAGTCTTAATTTTGTTCAAGACTTAGCTTCACTGTGTATATATTTAGTTTACCCATGAAAAATTGAATTCAGGAAAGGAAAAAAAATATGGGAATGATCTCTATACACTGGCTCTAATTTACAGACAGGAAATTTGCAAAGTCCAAGTAGCTGTCTAAAAACATAGCAAAATACCTAAAAATTCAATAACATTTCTATCATGCCTCCTTTTTATAAACTGAAAACTAAATAAGAAGGGAAGCTTGTTTTCTATGTGGAAGTGCTATATGCAACTTAGCTATGCACCATGAAGGTAATATGTGGTGTGTTTTTTCAAATTATAGGTTTTTTCCCCCTCTCCATCTGGTGACATAAGAGAGTGTGATTAAGCCCGTCAGTTGGCCTATTTGAAAAATTCTTCATGTGATTTGGAAACTACTTTATGGCCCTTTAGCATTGAGATGAAGAGCCATTTGGCTTTGAAGAGATGAGTTTTCTCATGAAAAAGTCTAATGCAAGATATTAACTGGCCCTAGGAATAGTATAAGCACCACAATTCTAATTAAAATGCCTTTAAATGCACTGTTACTTGCTCTTATAGTAAATTTAAATATTTGTGTGCTCACATGTGTGTAGACACACCTATCCAATATCAGTGGCTGCAATTTAAGACCAAGCAGATTAACCAAAAGCATAATATCTTTTTCAGGTTCGAGAAAACAACTACATCTATGAATTTGATTTTTCAAAAGTCTATTGGAATCCTCGTCTCTCTACAGAACACAGCCGGATCACAGAACTTCTCAAACCTGGGGATGTCCTATTTGATATTTTTGCTGGGGTTGGCCCCTTTGCCATTCCAGTAGCAAAGAAAAACTGCACTGTTTTTGCCAATGATCTCAATCCTGAATCCTATAAATGGCTGATGCACAATTGTAAATTAAATAAAGTGGACCAAAAGGTGAAAGTGTTCAATTTGGATGGGAAAGACTTCCTCCAAGGACCAGTTAGAGAAGAGTTAATGCAGCAGCTGAGACCATCAAAAGAAAGAAAACACTCTGTGCACATTGTTATGAACTTGCCAGCAAAGGCTATAGAGTTTCTCAGTGCTTTCAAATCGCTCTTAGATGGGCAGCCATGCAGCAGTGAGCTCCTTCCCATAGTGCACTGTTACAGCTTTTCCAAAGATGCTAATCCTGCTGAGGATGTTCGGCAACAAGTTGGAGCTGTGTTAGGTATTTCCTTGGAGGCATGCAGTTCAGTTCACCTAGTGAGAAATGTGGCACCTAACAAGGAAATGCTGTGCATCACCTTTCAGATTCCTGCTGCTGTACTCTACAGGCACCAAACCATAAATCTAGGTGAGCAATTTCTGGGAAATTAAATGTAAACTATAATACCTTTCATGTAGCTTTCTTTGGGCTACATATATATTTTATACTATTTATTAAATTTGGAATTAGGGAGATTAAATTAATTCCAGTTAGTTATTTCAGTTCAAGACCCCTTGCCATTCAATTGACTAGTTTCTCCTAATTTTACAAATTTTAGTATGATATACTATTCAGCCTCATAGAAGGCTATTTCATTAAAATAACACATTCACAGGAATGTTATCTCATGTCTAAGTTGACAAGATTAAAAATCTTTTAAATGCCTATATTATCTGTTTTTAAAAGTATGTTTAACTGTTAAATATCTTACCTAAAATAGGTTTTTTGGATTTGTTTCAGAGAATCATGAGGATCTACCTCTTAAACGGCGGAGGACAGATAAAGCCTTTTCAGAAGAAAAAACACAAATTGCTTCAAATACTTAACTGGAAATGTTTTCCCCATCTCCCCACCAGACATTTATGTAGTAAAACATAATTTGTATGATTTCATAAAATTTCAGCATTCAATTACTTTACTATTGAACTCTTATATTTTGCCTGCTGTCTTATAAATTGAAGAATACCAAATTAAAATTTAACTGAAATAAGTCTACTAAATATGTACTTTTTTATTATCTAGATTATAATATGTAATTATAATTTTATAATCTAAATTATATCTAATTTTTCATTAGATAAACATGAAACTGAAATAAGTCTACTAAATATGTACTTTTTTATTATCTAGATTATAATATGTAATTATAGTTTTATAATCTAAATTATATCTAATTTTTCATTAGATAAACATGCTTAAATATTTTCTGTCACTTGGGAAAATAGTTTTTGGAGGTAGGATAATTGTGTGCTGTCTAAATAGGAAGGCGATAATATCACTTTGTAGTTATCCTTAGTTGAAGAGTATAGTTAAACTTTACATAACTACTCCTCTACTGCCAATTAACTATCACTATAAAAGTAATAAAAAAAAAATGTGATTATATAGATAAGGGGTAGGCAAACTATGTCCTGAGAGTCAAATCTGGTCCTCCACCTGTTTTTATATGGCCTACAACCTGAGAATGTTCTTACATTTTCAATTGGTTGAAAAAGAATTGAAAGAATAACATTTTGTGACATAAAATTATATGAAATTTGAGTTTCATTGTTCATAAAGTTTTATTGGAACATATCATGCTCATTTGTTTACATATTGTCTAAAGCTGCTTTCATGATACAGCAGCAGAGTTGAGTGGTTGCAACAAAGACTAGATGTGACTCAACACTTCACACTGCTGCTTGGCACATTACAAATCACAGTGACATGGTTGTAACTCAGCAGCATTGAGTGTCATGTATATCTCCAAGCCACATTTTATTTTTTTATTACCAGTGTACACCCATCATGTCAAAACAAGAAAGGTCGACTTTGAATGTTGTACTTTTAAGGCACAGTAGGGTATGAACTATTTTGATATTGATTTAGATGACAAAGCATCTGTAGCTGACCTAAAAGAATACAATATACGTTTGACATTACCAGACAAAGCATTCATCACACAGTATTCCCAACTCACAGGCTATCAAAAAAATTTAAAAATTTAAAATAGAAATATCTCATCAAAACAATTTCTTCACAAAATAAAAAATGAAAATGAGGCTGCAACCAAAGTCAGTCTCCAGACTAATTTGTTAGCCAAGGAGGGAAAGCCATTTACTGATGGTGAATTGTGTTTGAATGTAACGGCTGAAGAAATGTGTTCAGAGAAAATAAACTGTTGGCTATTTGGCAAGAACAGCTGCTCAAGGAGTTAAGGGATCAACACTAATAGTCAATTAAAAAGGTAAATGGTTCTGAGTGGTTCTTTGACAGATGTTACTAACACTGTTCAGTTCCTATTTGAGGCGTTAATGCTGAGTTTGAAGTGACTAAAGAATGAGCCAGTATGAGTACTCTGCATGAAACACCTATGGATGAATATTTTCAAAGAAGTTGAGAAAGCACTAATTCTATACAACCTAAAGTGGAATCTGCTAAGATGTGTTATAACTGATGGTGGTAAAAAATGTGTAGGGCATAAAATGCCTTAGTTGAGCAAATTTTACAAAGCTTGTGAAATGTAAGGAGGTTAAAGCCCATGGTTATTTACTATATTATTCATCAGCAAGTACACTGCAGAAAACATTTGAATCTATCATGTGTTACTGAATCAGTGAATTTAGTGAATTCACTAAAACTTGGTGAACTGTTATCATTAGATTATCTTTACCATTCCATTTGATCTAATCGGATCAGTTAACAACTTCTAGATTTGGCCTATCGAACAATATATGGCAATAGTAACTGCTAAATTTATAAATGTGTAAAGGCTTTGGAATTTATTTGCCAAACCTGGTGCATGCAATTTCACAATAATAAGGTAGGCTCAAAACAAGTCATGAAAGCCTTTGAAATGTTTTATTAATCAGTTCATTAAATACATTGTACAAGGTACTGAGAACAAGTAATAGTGCTTCCTTTTAAAAGACTGGATACCTTACTTTTGTAGTTGAGTGCAGTAACTCAACCTTAACTGTAAATTCAATGTTCTCACTATTTGAACAGATTTATACATTGTAGTTAAAAACACTAACCTTCAATTGGGGAACACTCAATAGAATAACCTTAGGAATAAGATAAGGAGCCTGTTAGAGTGTAGATAGAACTGAACTTGGATTTTAAAAACAAAAACAAAAAAAGCTGTGTTGTAATCCTGGCTTTTTACTAACTTGTGTATATGATCTTGGCCTACTCAATTATTTGATGTCTTGGTTTTCTCATTTACCAAAGAAAGTTATAAGTATTGTAAAGATGAAGATGTACTCCTGAAATTAATACCTGCTTAGTAAAATAAAATGGAGTTGTGACATATGGATGTTCCACACTAATGAAACCACATCCTGTTTCACCTAACTTTCCACCCATAAAACTAACATCTGTTGTAATGGAGATTTGATAGAAAATCCCTTAATTTCCGTAAGAAACTATGACACATATCCAGTGGTCTATGTAGCATACTCATACGATGTTGAGATGCTAACAAATATCCATTCTATCCACATCCAAACTCTAAGCAAAACCCAGGGTATAATAAAGGCCTTTGAAGTTTAAACAAAAAACTACATCTGAGTCTACAATTTACACATAGGGAAATCTCACTTAAAATGGACCCTTTCCAGTCTCCAAGTTTCATCATAAAATAAGCTCACATTGGAGGTGAAAGGTGCCATTTAAGTATTAAATTTTATTAACTTACTTTGAATCTGTCATTAAAGCAGGTTAATGCTGTGCTCTGGTTTATCCTGAGTATAGCTCACAGCTGGGAACTATAACACCTTGGTCAAGGTTTGCCTCACTTTCCACTGCTCAAAACAGGCATTGAGTCCTCAATATTGAGGGAATGACATCGCAGGTCAGGTTTTACTTGCCACAACCTGTTGGTAGAAGGAAATATATCCACTTGTCTGGACTAGTATTAAGACATTAGAAAAAAAGAGAACATTTTATGAGAAGAAATAATAGACTTGGATATTAACACTAAATGTTGTAATCAAAATGGCATTTTAAAATGTGTTCAAGTAAAACACTGTAATAAGAGAAAAACCACAAAACTTAATATAAAGTCTAGCTTTATTTTTAAAAAGATTTTACAAGTCTGTCAACCTCAAACATTCATAGGTGAATTATTTGTTCCTCTCTTCTATCAGATCAGGCTTATTGCATAAGTAAAAAATAAATCTTTTTCACAAATATGCATCCCCTATATGCCTCAGCTTAGTTCTGAAATTTTCTCTTTATAAATACTTTGAAACAGCTGCTAGTGGTAGTACTATTCCTGTGCAGCTGCATATGGCTATAACTTTATAAGTCTGCTTACTTTCGCAAGCTCCCTGGTTTAACTCCCAGGTCCAATTCTTATAAATGGAGGAAAAAAGATTAATTGGGCTGCCAGAAAAGCCCACTGAATGCGTCCTGTAGAGCTCTGTGACAAGCAAGAGAAGAAGTATAGCCTCCAGCAAGGTCCTGTGGAGAAGCAGCTCTGACATGGTTTAAATACCTAAGACAAAACAAAAAGTATAGCATTGATAAAGAAATCACATATAAATTGGTAACATTTTAAAAAGCAATAGTAAAACTGATTCAAATTTTAAAGAGGAATTCTGAGATTGCATCAGACTTTTTATAAATGGATTATTACCTTTCAAAAAGAAACATACCAACTGTACATGGAGTGCCTAAACTAGTATTAAACTACAAAGGAAATTATAGTAAGGTTTAGAAACAGTTCTGAAAGAGGTTTCAAAAATAATACTTGCGGGCCGGCCGGTGGCGCACTGCTACAGTGCGCCACTTGGGAAGTGTGGTGGCGCTCCCGCCGAGGGTTCGGATCCCACATACAGACCAGCTGCTCACTGGCTGAGTGAGGGGCGGGAGCAACATCGAGGGTTGCGATCCCGTGGCCGGTCCTGGTCCGGTATGGGCGCGACACTGAGGGTTGCGATCCGTTGCCGGTCACGAAAAAAGACAAAAAGGAAAAAAAAAAATAATAATAATAATAATAATAATACTTGCTACTAAAATGTTCAGTTTCACAATTTTTAGGTCAGATTTGTTTTGTTGGCTGTTGTATGGGCACCTAACTAATGCTTTCCTTCCTGGCTTACTCTTCATAAACACACTATACCACAATATTACTAATATAATTTTACATGATACATTTTAAAGTAAAATCTCTAAATACCAAAACAAATTGGGGAGAGAAGAAAACAAACTACTTACTTCAAAATTACTTCAATATTCAAAAAATACACTGTCTCTTTCCTTGCAGGAAAGTAAACCTTAGAAAATTACATGTCCAAGAAATCTCTGATACTGAGTCTCAGTTCAAATTAATGTCTCTAATAGAAATTATAAAAGAGTCTAATCTCAAAAGACAGTGTAACAAACACAATTTTCCTTCAGTCACAAACACATAGCTTTTTAGCAATTAAAATTTTCGACCTTGACAAAAATAGACAAAACTGTATTAAAAAAAAAAAAATAGGACAATCCTTGCCAAAGAGGGGCAACTTGTTATCACGACTACTAACGCTGCTGAAAACAGTATTTCCAGCTTTGGTTTAATGCCTGGTTTTAAAAACCACATTGTTTCTTCTGGCCTCAGGAAGTAAAGGAGCTTCACCCACCTTAGAATTACAGGTATGGCAAATGAATAAATCAAGTACCAGAACATTTTAATAACTTGGAACCTTTTTTACTCATTCATTCAAACTTCCTGTGTGTCAAGATCTTAACGCATGAGCAACTTATTTCTAACATAACAAGAAGCCTGTTTTTCATTTGTATCCATGTTTAATAAGCTTATGTGATTAAAAAAATATATGGCAACATAAGAGAACAAATAGAAAAGTGGCCAAAGTAAGACACAGGCTAAGCTCCTGGAATCGGCTATACTTTAATTCACATTGCGACAAATCAAGGTGTTAACTCAATTCTTTGCTTCTCTGCCAAGGATGAAAGGGGAAAGTAGGAGGAAGGGAATTTTAATATTTATTGAGCAATAATCTACAACTTTTTTATAGTACAGGTATATTTATAGCAGTAAAAAATATTTGAGCATGCATCTCCAAAATTTGTATACTTATTTATAAATTATATACAGAGTACTAATATACTATATGCTATTACAAATATATAATTATATACATAATATACAAATATAATAAGTATATTATAAAGTATATATAAATATAAAATATACAAAATGACATAAAAATATTTGAAAGTTCTAATATTTTCTCCCTACATCCCATCTTATATACCCTCCTGGGATGCATCCTACTTTGGAGACTACCATTAAGTACAGCAAACCCTTGAACAACACAGATTTGAACTGAATGGGTCCATTTACATGTGGAATTCTTTCAATAAATATACTGGCAAAATTTCGTGTTCATGACATAACTAACCAAACAGTAAGTAGCCTACAACTACAACTTAAGTAACAACGCCCCCTTCAGCCCAAACCCGAACCCTGTGGGCCACAACCCAGTGGATAGTATGCAATATATTTAAGTAGTAGATGAGTAGTTAAGTTTGGGCAAGTTAAAAATTATACAGGATATTCAACTCCTAGGGGTTTGGTGCCCCAAACCCCCATGTTGTTCAAGGGTCAACTGTAGTCACTTTCAAACTCTTGATAAAACCTCAAGTTTCAATTAGATTTCTTTATAAACCCATAGGATTTAAAGAGGGATTCACCAAACCTACCACATGGCCATAAAGTTATCTGCTTATTACCTCCCAGGACACAATACTATGTCAACTGCTAAGATTCTGATGCATCAGAAATTAGGTAAGTGTTAAGTCACCTCAGAAAGTCTAAAAATCAAACTGGCTTCACCGGGAACTCAATAACTATCATACAAATAGTAAGTGAATAATATTTTTACAGGTAACTTGGAAATAAAATGTTCCCTTTCTTATACCAGTTTCCAGCTAATTTTTATCCGCACACCAGATGATGATATATCACCCTCTTTCCTTTCCTCAGACCCTCAAAAGAACAGCATAGTCTTAGCTCCAATGGCTGGTCACTCATGGCAAAATTCAAGCACCACAGTAGAATGTTTATCAAACTTAAGAAGCCAACTATCATAAACGAAAATTGGTTTTCATAGCTGTAATACAAAATACTGTACAACTAACTGTTTTGATTCATCACATTTTGGTACAGCTTGCTTCTGGGAAAGTTGAGTCATACCATCTTTGGCTTGGCAATTTGAACATAAACTTGCAGTGTGCATACAGCTTTTTATATGTTATCCTGAGAAACCTGAAACAGCTGCACTGCTGGCAGGAAAACACAGGACCACCAGTAAAATATCCAAAACAGTTGCATCTTTTAATTTATGTGCACTGTTTCCATAGAGTATATAAAACAGTTCAGCTTTTATAGGTAAAATATAATAAACAGTCATACTTATTGATGCCATAAATGTGTGTAAAAAAGAGGTTTATCTAAAATGATTAATAAATGTTTGAAAACAGTATTTCTTGAACAGTCATAATCCAGAGCAATGAGTGAATGTTTTCAAATTTGAATTATTAATGCTAAGTTGTACTACTCTTACTGCCAAAGTAAGTCAATTAAAATTTTTTTTGCAATGCGCTGAAGAAAGTGTGATCCCCTTCTAGCAATCATTTACATTAAATATGTCTATAAGTATGATTCTTTAAGAGTCCTACTTATTTACATTGCTGTTTTTGATCTCTAGAGCTGCACAAAACTGTTACTGTTAAGTACTTCAAAAACAGTTTCACTGTGGCAACTACATTGATTCCAGTAAAAAAAAAAAAAGAAAGATAATTCACTTCTTGTTATTCCATTATGGGCTTTTATTTTCTAGGTATCTTAAATGTTCTTAAACCCTTTAATTATTGTGGTATGCCAAAGTATTTTAAAGGATCTGTCACACTGAAACCACACAATGAGAATTTAGTGTTTTGCCTACTTTTTCACCTTAATTCACATCTGTGTTGCTTTAATTTTTTCATGACCATTACAAGCACATCACTGAATAGGATTCCTGGGGTTTCTGGCCAAGGTCAGTATCATTTAATGTACTCCTTTATACAACAGAATTAGGAAGAAGTCTTAGCCAAATTTATTTGCAAAAGTCAAGCTCTGTTGGATTTTGGAGCCCAGAGGTAATTGCTCTATTGAGTCAATCCCAGGACACTATTTCTGTTTTTCATGGGTTTATTTTAAATATGTGTAAATCTTATAAGCAGAAACCAGGAAAGAAAAAAAGAGGTTTGCTTATTTCAGAATCTACCTAATTTTTACTGAAAGCAGACTAAACTCAGATTTAGAAATCATACCTTTGATTATTTTCTTAATAAGGCTTAAAAAAGGTATGTTTTCAAAAGTATGTCTAATTCTTGTACAAAGGGCATCTTATGCCTTATTTATGCACTGTCTAAAGGTATCACTACCCATCAAAATCTGTTTTAAATAGACTTTGGAGAGGGGGGAGGAAAAAGGAACAATGGATCCTGAGAGGGGAGTAAGAGAGGATTAAGCATTAGAAAACCACACCTGAAAGTTTGTTTCTAAATTTGATTTCCTACACTGTCGTTTTCTTCTGTTATTTTTAGCAGTGTTTGCTCCCAAAGAAGGTGGTATAATTTAGCTTATAATTTGGTGGTATAATTTAACTTAGCTTCAGAAAGACTTAATTTTCTCAGCTCTTTAATATATGAGATTACTCTTGTACTATTTTCCTTCCTTTAAAAGCACTGTATGACCATCTGGCTGAAGTCTAGGATTCAGCTCATTTAGTGCTATTCAACAATGCTTTGAGTTCCCAGCTAGGGACAGAGGGCAGGGTTGTCACTCAGGACTAAGAGGCAGCATTCTTCCTCTCTAGTCATAACCTGTTTGTAATACCCTTGAAACACACTGGCTCCAGAAATCAAGCAATCTCAGAATTTAAATTGAAATGAAAATGTAAAGTTCATATTAGTTTCCTCCACCTCAAATTACCAGGCCCTATGGAGAGTTAAAAACTTGGACTGGTCAAACTAAGAATGGTAGTGAACTCTAGAGACTAAGACTTCCTTTTTACAAGATGGCCCATATTTTTAGGTCTGCATTTAAAGTCATCATGCATTAAACAGACCACTTCCAAACAGATCTGCATCCCAGCCCACAAAATTCAAATCTAACTGTCATTGAGAGAGATCAGCCAGCTGATCATAGCTACCAAGACTAAGGGCTCTTGTAACAAATTCAGCCAAAGCTATAAAAGATTTATATTAACAACCTGAAGTCTATCTCAATGAGATTTTAAAAGAACCAGAGCAACAGTGTGCTCAGACAACTACCACTAAAAAGCAGAAACATTTTGAAAACTAAGGCTAGTACTTAGATGTCCTAAGCTAATCATGATATCAGAATAACAGACAAACTGTCTACAGAGGGGAATGGATAATCATATATTCTAAGGTAAATGTGGAAAGGCACTACAAGCCAGAAATACTGTCCATAATTCT